ATCAAGAGAACGAACAGGTGGAAATGATAGTAACCGGGTAGAGAAGTCTATTACTAACCATTAGGAATAATTAAAGTACTACTGACTAATAGTAATAGACTTCTCTACCCGCTCACTCTCACATCAACAGTTAGAGTCCATCGTTCTGCACAGGGGTTCAGGAGAGGACTCAGAGCAGATGAAACCTGAGGAAGGAGAAGAGCTGGTTAGAGAATATTCCAGACACAAGCAACAGCGGCGCAAAGTCCTTGAGTCGGGAAACATCTTGGCATGTCACTGGACTGTAGTGAATGAGGAGGAGAAGGCTAAGGCAGGGAGTTTGCATTTATTCTGTGAGCGACAAGGAGGCTTTGCAGGGTTCTGAGCAGGGGCGTGCCCGTGGTCTGATTCACAAGTGCAGACCATGACCGTGACCGCTGTGCAGGAAGAAGGTTGTAGGGCAGCAGGCACAGAAGCAGAGGCTCCTGGTGTCACTGGACTGTAGTGAATGAGGAGGAGAAGGCCAAGGCAGGGAGTTTGCATTTATTCTGTGAGCGACAAGGAGGCTTTGCAGGGTTCTGAGCAGGGGCGTGCCCGTGGTCTGATTCACAAGTGCAGACCACGACCGTGACCGCTGTGCAGGAAGAAGGTTGTAGGGCAGCAGGCACAGAAGCAGAGGCTCCTGCAGGAATCCAGGCATGAGATACTGGTGGGTTGGACCAGGGTGGAAGCCTTAGGGATGGAGGAAGTGGACAGGCTAAAGCCACATTTTGGAGGGAGAGAAGTGACGAGACACCGCTGTGTGTCCTCCGCCACGTCGTGAGCTGCGAACTGCAGCCCCGTCTCGCTCCTCAGCGTCCCTAGCCCAGCCCCACCTCAACGAGTGCTTGTGGGGTGAGGAAATATGATGTCTTCCTGATTCTCCTTTCACTGTCAAGGAAACCAAAGCTCAGAGGTTGAGTGAGCAGCTCAAGTCTGTCAGATGGTGGCAGAGCCAGGGTCAGCTACCAGGTCAAATTCCACAGCCAGCCCTGGAACCCCCTCGCTGTGCTAGACCAGCAGGTGACACGAAAGATGCAGGAAATGGCTTCCTTATCTGAAAATAGGGGAAAACAACACTTGACCTCATGGGATTGTTTTGAGGATTAAAAGAGATAATGTGTACAGAAATGTTCCGCATGGGCCTGGTCCATAAAAGTTGCTCAGTAAATGTTTGCTGTGAAATACAAGGTTTAAAAGACAATTCTGTTCTGCAATATTTATCTTCTTTTTAACATCTTTTTTTTTTGCAATTTTTTTATTGAAACAATTGATGATACATATTTGTGGGGTACAGATTTGAATATCAATACCTGTGTACAGTATGTGGTGATCAAATCAGATAATTAGGACACTCGTGTTTACAAAACATAATCAATTTTTGTGACCCTTAATCAATTTCTCGCTAACCCCCTCCCCTCTCCCTCCCCCACCCCATCCCACCTCTAATAACCGCAGTTCTGTTCTTGTTTTTATTGAAAGTTCAACATATTATTGTGATTATTGTTCCTTCCTTTTTTCCTTCTTTCATTCCTTCCTTCCTTTCTCTTTCTCTCTCTATCTCTTTCTTTATCTTTGTTTCTTTATTTTTTCAGCTCCCACTTATGAGTGAGGACATGCAGTATTTCTCTTTCTGTGCCTGGCTTATTTCACTTAACACAATTTTGTCTAAGCTCATCCATGTTGCTGAGAATGGCAGAATTTCACTCTTTTTTATGGCTGAGTAGTATTCCATTGTGTAGATATACCACATTTTCCTTATCCAGTCATCTGTCAATGAACATTCAGTTTGGTTCCAATTCTTGGCTATTGTAAATAGAGCTGCGATAAACATGGGAGTGCAGGTGTCCTTTTGACATGATGATTTCCATTCCTTTGGGTATACACCCAGCAGTGGGTGCAATATTTATCTTAGAAAAAAAAATTACTGCGTATCAGTTGACTCTTTTTTTTTTTTTGCATCATTTGATGCACTTCCATTTTTTTCTCTTTTTAGTAAATTTAAAAAAGAACAACATAAAAATGTAGAAAGATATTTTTTAAGCTATTTGTCATGGACACTTGAGAGCACACACATAGAAGAGAGTTTCATAGACTCACATGGACCAAGGCCCAGACCCAGCAGCCGGGGCTCGCTTCTGCTCCTGTGCTGCTCTGCAGGGGGTCTCACTCCCGTGTTCCTCTGTTGATGAACGGTTCAGAGTGTCTGCAAAAGATAAATTTTTTTCTTTTCACAGAACCACAATACCATTATCCACCCCCAAAAAGCTCAACAGTAATTCCTTAATATCAGTTACCAGCTATCCACGCTTATATATTTCATACTTTTTTGTTTGTTTGAATCAGGATTCAAGTCCACACATTGTGCTTTTAACCTAAGTCTTTAAGGTTCTTTTAATCTATAGGTGGCCTCCCTTTCCCCCCTCTCACAATATGTCTGTTGGAGAAATTGGGTTATTTATCCTGTTGAGTTCCCCACAGGCTGGGTTTTGCTGACTGACTTTCTGTGGTGTCTTTTAACATGTTCCTCTGTCTCCAGTATTTCTCTCCAGTTTCCTAATGGTAGTTAGAGACAGAGACTTGATCCTACTCAGGCCTGAGTTTGGGGACAAGACCTGTTCCTCAACGTCCTGTGCTCTTTCATCAGGAGACATGCCATTGGTCACCACTGCTGGCCATTGCCCGAAGCTGTTAATTCATCACTGGTTGCAAAACAATGATATTCTTTTTTTTTTTTTTTTGTCTTTTTGTGACCGGCAAGGGGATCGCAACCCTTGGTGTGGTGTCGCCCACACCGTGCTCAGCCAGTGAGCGCACCGGCCATTCCTATATAGGACCCAAACCCACGGCGGGAGCGTCGCTGCGCTCCCAGCACTGCACTCTTCCGAGTGCGCCATGGGGTCAGCCCAAACAATGATATTCTAATTGTATCGTTCCTCTGCAATTATCAGCTGAATCAAACCAGAACCCTTTTTTTTTTTTTAGGCACAAGGGATATTTATTGATGGGCATAAAATAGAGGTATTACAACACGTGGAAGAAGTTAGTGATGGGTTCAGGTACAATCAGGCAGATGAAAAAAAATGAGGTAATAATTAACTCCAGGAAAAATAAAGGTTATATAAAAAAGAAGGCATAGTCACAGTGCGTTACTTGACCCAGCATTGAGCAATATTTGCAAAGTTGTAATAACACAAACATTGACTTCGATTTAAGTAAAATTACAAAACAACCACTTAGAGCACAAAGAAAGAAGTGAAAAATGTGTATGGGAGAGCTAAGCCTTTATTTCCCATGGTAGGAAATCAAAATATACCTAAAATTGATAAGTAAACTAATAGTAGTAAAAACATATCCTGCCAATAAGTGTTGGGCATTAATGTTTTGGTAGCAATTTTACAAAAGATGCATAATTGAAAATTGGAACCCTTTTAACAGCTATAGGAAAAAAACTCAGATGGAAGGAGCCATAGATTAAAAGAGACTTAAAAGGCTTATTGACCCATTATATATCAAAATTATTTGGACTCCACTTATTTTAAACAAATAAATTTTAAAACAAAATTGATATTTATGAGACAATTGGAAGTTTTATTTATTTTTATTTTTATTTTTATTTTACTTTTAAAAGATGACCAGTAAGGGGATCTTAACCCTTGACTTGGTGTCGTCAGCACCAGACTCACCCAATGACCGAACCGGCCATCCCTATATAGGGATCCAAACCCGTGGCCTTGGTGTTATCAGCACCACACTCTCCTGAGTGAGCCACGGGACAGCCTGACAATTGAAAATTTGAACTCAATATTTTCTTTTTCCTTTTTGTCTTTTTTAATGACTGGCAATGGGATCGCAACCCTCGGTGTTGCGCCCACACCGCGCTCAGCCAGTGAGTGGGAACCGGTCTCCACATGGGATCCGAACCCTCAGCGGGAGCGCCACTGCACTCCCAAGCGGCGCACTATCCAGTGCGCCACCGGGCCGGCCCTGAACTCAATATTTAATAATATTAAGAATAGTTTATTTTATACAGGCTGAAGTATTGTTTTTAAGAGTTTATTTTTAGAGCTACATATGGAAATGTTTACTAATAAAACTGTGATGTCTGAGAAATGCTTCAAAATAATAATTATTATTAACTTAATTACTAAGTTAATAATTATCGTTGGGTGGGGGTAGAGATGAAACACGCCAGCCCACCTCTCAGATCCTGGATCCCGCCAGCTCCTTTGAGCAAACACTGTCCAGGGCTTCCATTTCACTTGTATGGTCTGTGTTTGTTTCCTGTGGCTGCTGTTAACAAATGACCACAAACTGAGTGGCTAAAACAACAGAAGGTGATTCTTTCACAGAAGAGGCCAGAAGTCTGGAATCAAGGTGTCGCAGGACTGAGCTCCCTCAGAAGGCTCTAGGGGAGATTCCTTCCTTGCTTTTTCCTGCAACTACTGGGCCTGGGTGTTCCTTGGCTTATGACTGCCTGAGTCTTCACGTGGGCTTCTCCTCTATATCTGTGTCTTCTCCTCTTCTGTCTCTTACAAGGGCAGCTCTCATTGGATTTAGGGCCCACCAGGTAATCCAAGATGCTCTCATGTTGAGATCCTTAGTTACATCTGCAAAGACCCTTTTTCCAAGTAAGATCACACTTGCAGGTTCTTTGGGGTTAGGTTGTGGACACATCTCTTTTGGGGTCTGCATGAGACAGATGATAATGCGTAAGAAAGTTTTTTTTCATAACTCATGGCTAAACCAGAGAGCTGTGAGCCCCAACCCAAGAGAGACTTCCTTTCCCCTCTTTCTCAAGGGAGTCTGGGAATCTCCTCTCTGGCTTCTGCAGAGGGGTGGACAGAATGACCTTGGCTCAGCTGTCCCTTCCTGAGCGTCTCTGAGCAGTGCTGCCTCCCTCTGCAACAAGCCCTGGACAGCAGCCAGGGGAGGCACCAGCTGGGGTGGCACCGCCCTCCAGCTGACAGTGTTTCTTTTAGGAACTTCACATCCATCTTCTACCCTGATTATGGCAACTGCTACATCTTCAACTGGGGCATGACAGAGAAGGCGCTCCCTTCAGCCAACCCTGGAACTGAATTCGGTGAGTCTTGCTTTATCCTGGGGCCAGAGCTGTGAGGCTTTCAACCCTCTACCATGCGGGGCCGAAAGACCACCAGCTGTTGGGGGGTGAGACTGAGGCCATTACCGAGGCTCCACTGTGTGCCAGGGAGGCTGGGCCAGGAGTTCTCTCAGCCCAGGGCTCATAACCCCCAGGGCAGGGACTGTGTTCCCATTTTGCTGTTGAGCAAAGTGAGGATTCAGAAGCAGCAAGGCTCAGTGTCAAGAGCTCGAGCTCCTATGCCAGGGCCAAATCCCAGCTCCACCACTTTCTCACTGGGTGATGATCTGAGCTCGAGACTTAACTTCTTAAAGCCTCAATTTCCCCACTTGGAGAATAGCATTTAGTAGCATACATTAGCAGCATAGCAATGTGGTGTAGTATACGGTATGGTACATAGCATATACCTCGTGAGTCGTGACGTAGTGCAGGTAAACTTCCTGTACCCAGGAAGTAGTAAATACCAAACGCACACTGGATATTCTGGAAAGTTTTTAAACAGCTTGCACAAGATCACCCAGTTGATACATGGCACTTACTCTTAGCCTCCCTGCTATACAGTTCTTGAAGAGGGAGAGTCACAGAGACAGAAGCGAGGAGGCAAAAGGTGGTTGGTGACAGATGCCCTTCCCTCGAGGATGGCGTTGACCCATCCCCCTGAGAAAGGCTGGTGGACTCAGGCTGGCTGTGGCTTTTGGGCTTGTGAGGTGGCCAGGTGGAAGTGAATCCTTCCTCCCACCCCTCAGGTTCTGACCTCACCAGCCACCAAGAGGCAAGCTGTCATTCAATGCCATCAGGGCTGCTGGCCAAGAGGGGATGAGTGGGCTGACGGGGCAGGTGGCTTCACCTCGGCCACTGAGGTGCCGGCCAAGTCACTCACTTTATAGAGGCAGGTGGTTAAAATCAAGGCACAAGGCTGAGTGACCTCGGTCAAGACACTTTGCCTCTCTGTGCCTCAGTTTCCTCATCTATAAAACGGGGATGATAATAGCACCTACCTCATGTGGCTCTTGTGAGCATCCGATGAGATCGTGTGTAGTGGAGCACTCAGCACAGCACTCAGCATGCAGCCAGTGCTCGGTACATGCTAGCCCTTACTCTCCTAACCAGAGGGACTTGACTCTAGTGCCCCACGCTGAGGACGAGGATGATAGCATATTGGGTCTGCTCCCTGCCCTCAAAAAGGGAACAGTCAAGTGGGGAAGGCAGACAGACAATGAAAGAGTCACACCAGGAGGCAGGTACACAGAAGGGAAGTTCCAGGGCTGGGAGAGGGTCCAGCAAAGACCCCAAGAGCTAGTCTAGGCAACCAGGAAGGTTTCTGGAGGCAATGACACGGGCTGAGATCTGAAGGAAGGAAGAGCAGGAGGTTCTAGGTGGAAGGTGAGGGCGGGGACATTGCAGAGTGAGGGAACAGCTTTGCAGAAGACCAGCAGCAGGGAGGAGCCTGGCATTGCAGGGGGACTGAATGCAGGGAACGAAGGCGCAGCCATTCTCTGTGGGTGGCAAGGGTGTGCTGAGCCTCCGAGCAGAAGACCAGCAGCAGGGAGGAGCCTGGCATTGCAGGGGGACTGAATGCAGGGAACGAAGGTGCAGCCATTCTCTGTGGGTGGCAAGGGTGTGCTGAGCCTCCGAGAGCTACTTGCAGTGCCAAAAGAGATTATGGGGGAGGGGGCAAGAGGAGCACAGGGAGGAGATGATGGGGGCCATGGAGAAGGCAAGAAATGTTTGGGGTCTGGGTTTTTGCAAAGTGGAGCCAGCTTCCCTGGCAGGCCCTGGACGTTCCCCGGGCTGGAGGGAGCCTGGACAAGTTGGCGGTGGGTCTCCCCTTGGCCTCGGGGAGCGAGTTCAGGCAGCCGTCGCCCCGCCTTCCCCACAGGCCTCAAGTTGATCCTGGACATAGGCCAGGAAGACTACGTCCCCTTCCTCACATCCACGGCGGGGGCCCGGCTCATGCTGCACGAGCAGAGGTCGTACCCCTTCATCAGAGACGAGGGCATCTACGCCATGTCAGGGACGGAGACCTCCATCGGGGTGCTGGTGGTATGGCTGGAGCCCACGGGCAGCCCTGGCCCTCCCAGTGCACCCTGGCCTTGCCTTCTGGCTGAAACCAGCCAGGGCGGCCGAGCTGAGTCCCCCACGTGCTTGCTGGGAGGGAGGCCCAGAGGGGACTTCCTGGGGGTGAGCAGGGACCCACGAGCAACCCCTCTGAACACAGGACAAGCTACAGCGCAAGGGTGAGCCTTATAGCCGGTGCACCATGAATGGCTCCGACGTCCCCGTCCAGAACCTCTACAGCGACTACAACACAACCTACTCCATCCAGGTGGGGAGACCGTGCGGGCCTCGCAACCTGGGCCCCCGTCCCTGTCTACTGGTCCGAGGCCTCAGGTCTCTGGGAGAGCTGGCCCTGGCAAGGCTGACACAGGACAAGCTACAGCGCAAGGGTGAGCCTTATAGCCGGTGCACCATGAATGGCTCCGATGTCCCCGTCCAGAACCTCTACAGCGACTACAACACAACCTACTCCATCCAGGTGGGGAGACCGTGCGGGCCTCGCAACCTGGGCACCCGTACCTGTCTACTGGTCCGAGGCCTCAGGTCTCTGGGAGAGCTGGCCCTGGCAAGGCTGGCTCTGCTGGACTTTTGTAGGTGGCCACAGGACATCCTTGGGGCTGTGGAAACAGTCCAGTTCCTGGGTTCTTGCTAGTGCCCGGAGCTGGCCACCTGTCGTCCCCACTTGGGAAGGTGTGCCCTTGGGGACACCCAGGATTATAGGGATCTCACTCTGGGGTCTGTCAAGGAGAAAACAAAAACAGTAGCTAACATTACGGAGCTCACTGTGTGTGGGATGCTGTGTCTTCACACATTATGTCACCACAGGATCCCTTCAGACCCTTCCTCCACGAGGCAGTAATTACTAATAACAGCAGCTTTTATTAATATACTAATAATAGCAGGCTCGCCACATGCTAGGCAGGCACTGTTTCAAGTACCTCACATATATAATTCATTCAACCCTCACAACAACCCTAAGACGTCATGCTATTATCATTCCGATTTTGGAATGAGGAAATTGGATTTTATAGGCCCTGGTCCAAATGCCTCATCAGTTTACTTGAGAAGCCCTTCTTTGTATCTGGCCTTAATCCCTCTTGCTGCAGCTGGGGGTTTCCCTCTTGTCCTGAATTCCAGGGTCAGGCCAGACCTGTCCCCACACCAGCCCCACTGGGAGAGGGCCGACTGAACCCTTGCAAAGATGACAAAAATAGCCACTCACTGACACTGCCTCTCCTGGCCTGATCTGTCTATGCAGATAAGGAAACTGAGGCACAGCAAGGGGGCACCCTGGTGCCTGCTCCATCTCTGGGAGCCCCGAGCTTGCGTGTTTTTCCCTTTGCCTTTGTTGGAGGAAGTTGGTCCTCCCAGCCTGGCCACCCCTCCCACCTGTCCCATCCCTTCCTCCAACTGGCTGGTTTGGCCACCCCAATCTGGAGGGGTTTCTGTCTGCCACGGAGATCCCTGGGAGTCTTCTGAGCCTCTAGCGGGACAGACAGACAGACAGGGCAACACAGGGAGATGGGAGAGATGGAGAAGGAGGCGCCAGCCCTAGAGACCTCGTGTCAGGAACACTTCAGCTCTCGCTTCTCCCAGCGCGGTGGCCCTGGACTCAGGTCCTGGTCAGGAGCTCTGCCCACCCTGATGCCTGCCCCCAACCCGGAGCAGGCCTGGGCCCTCCCCAGCCTCAGTCACAGGGCCTGGGGAGGACTTCTCCTTCCAGAGGAGACAAGGTCTGGAGGGATGGAACACTCTTGCCCGAGGTCAGAGCTCCTTGTCTGACCCCACGGCCTCCCCCAGCCCCAGCTCTGGCCACTCCTGGCCATGCCATCTAATCTGCTGGCCAGCCCCCATTTCCTGCCTGCGAGGAGCCCACAGGGAAAAAAGAAGGGCAAGATTAGTCTGGGAAGGAGCCAGCAGAAGAGGCAGGAGAGGAGGACTTGGGGGAGCTTTTGTGGACGGTGGGCAGAGTCCAGAGAGGAGGAGCTGAGTCATCAAGGGCTGGAGCTGGAGCCCACGGGGCTCAGGACTTAGGAACCTGGACAGTCAGAGACACACGAACCATAGCAGCTGCCGTGCATTGAGCGCTTACTGAACACCTGACGCCGTGCTGAGTCCTCCCAAACTAGGGGACAGGTGTGATGATCACCCTGTTGCACCCGTGAGTAAACTGAGGCTCGGATGTTAACAACTTGCCCCAGGACACATAGTTGGTCTCTGAGTGGACTGAAACCAGGTTGGGATGACCTGAAAACCCAGTATGTTGGGGCCAAGCGAGTCAGGATGCATCACATCCAGCCTTGGCGGCTGGGAGTGCTGGGGGTGAGTCCGCTCCTTTACCTCCCCTGCCAGGGGACATTCTGCAGACCAGCAGTCGCTCACTTCCTGTGTGGTCAGCTCCAGCAAAGGACATCTTTCTCCTTGCTTTTGCTGGGCGTCTTACTCCAGGAGTTGGGAGTGCAGAGCAAGCCTGCTTGTCTTCCTCAGGCTGTCTTTTGGGGTCCATCCACGTAAGGAGCTCCACACGTGCTGGCACCTCATAATAAGAGCCATCTGAGCGTTACCGTTATGATTCAGGGCAGCCACCCCTCCCTGTGTCATCTGTGGGGCCCCTGCTTTAAATGGTGAGACCTGGGCTGCTGGGGTCTGGCCTAAGCCCCTCAATGGGGTCCAGGGACCTACTATGAGGCCCAAGGGGGAAGAACAGCCATGCCTGGATTACGGGGTCTGTAGCCCATCACTTGGTCACCTCGTCATGGCTTCTCAGCCAAAGGGGCAGCTCTCAGCTCGCCCAGCTCCCTCAGCCTGGGCATCAGCATCTCTGGGCCCTTTCCCTCTGGTGCCAGGGTGGGGACGTCACCAGCTATGTCTGTGTTCTCTCCCCCCACTGCATAGTCCTGCCTTCGCTCCTGCTTCCAAGAGCACATGATCCATAACTGCAGCTGCGGCCACTACCTGTACCCACTGCCACACGGAGAGAAATACTGCAACAACCAGGACTTTCCCGACTGGGGTGAGCGGGGACCCACGGGCACCGGCACTGATGGGCAGGGGCCACCACCCACACAGGCTGCAACTGCGGAGGAGGGGCAGAGCGTAATGCCCTCTGCGGGGCCACGCGATGAGCCAGGCCCCTCCACAGTCCCTCCTACCAGCCCCTCTGGGCCTCCCTTCTGCAGAAACCCAGGCTCCTCTCCACTCCTCGATTGGGTGAAGCACGTGCTTGAGACACACAGGTGTGGAAGGGAACTTGTCCTCATGGGCCTACATCTGTGTGACACCTGCATGAGCCCAGGCATGTAGGCGAGGGCACATGTGTGCCTGTGTTTAGGTTTCCATGTATGAAAGCACATTTCCATGTGTGTTGCTCCATGACCACGGCACGTGTCTGTGCTCATGCGGGGCACACATTGCTTCCAATGCCCACATTGGTGCACTCTGGCTTGTGTGCACACGTGTGTGTGTGTGTGTGTGTGTGTGTGTGTGTGTGTGTGCGCACGCACAAGGCTGTGTGTCCATCCTCAGCATGTGTCTGTGTCTGTGTGGATGCACTGGGTCTCTCTATGGTGCCGGGCTGGGAGGGAGAGCAAGGAAGCTGCTGTCATGGTGGTGGCCACCAGAGCTTGAAGCTGGAGTCACAGGAGGAAGAGCCACTCTTGCCCCGCTGGAGCCGAGGCCTGGAGTCCAAACACTGATGGGTGCTGTTGGCAGCAGATGACACAGTGCACAGACAAAAGGCGAAAGCTCATTCCTTCCAGTCACCCATCTCTTCCTACACTACCCTATGCCCCGTCCACTAGTGAGGATGGGGTCGCCTGCAAGGGGAAGCTGCTCCGACCCTGAGTTGGTTTAGGATGTTTGGGTTACATGGCTGGAGTAGGGGTGGGATGGGGAGCGATGATTCTCCACAATGAGACACCCCAAGCCCTACAGGCTGCAGCAGAGTGGCCAGTTTGAGGCTCCATGAGGGAGGGGCACTAGAAACCCACCTCAGTCACTTGCCGGCTCCCTCTCTCCTGCTCAGCCTACTGCTACTCAGACCTGCAGATGAGCGTGGCCCAGAGAGAGACCTGCATCAGCATGTGCAAGGAGTCCTGCAAGTGAGTGGCTGTGGCAGCCGGGCAGGCCCCGTCACGGGGCAGGGCATGAGGAGCCAGGCCTGGCGGGACGGCAACAGGCCTGTCTCTTCTCTTCCAGTGACACCCAGTACAAGATGACCATCTCCATGGCCGACTGGCCTTCTGAGGCCTCTGAGGTGAGACAGGGCAGTGGCCAAGCTCCTGGTCCCCCGTCTTTGGGCTGGGGGCAGGTCTGGGAACAGGTGCAGGCTGTTTGGGACTTTGGAGGGGATGCCTCTCTCCTCCTTCCCTCCCTTCCTTCTTTGTTCCCCCGTCCTTCCTTCCTTTCCTCCCTCCCTGTTTCCCTCTGTTTTAGTCCGTTTTTGTTGCTATAACGGTGTGCCTGAGACTGGGTGATTTATAAAGAAAAACGACATTTGTTGCTTACAGTTTCTGAGGCTGGGAAGTCCGAAGTCCATCTGGTGGTGGCAACAGTGACCCAGGGGTCTCACTTTGCAAGATGGTAGAGCAGAGAGAGAGAAAGACAGAGAAAGACAGACAGACTCTCCTCTTCTTTTAAAGCCCTCAGAGCCACACCGCTTACCACCATTATCAACCCATTCACTACTGCGCAGTCCTACAATCCCATCACCTGAAAGACAGAGAAAGACAGACAGACTCTCCTCTTCTTTTAAAGCCCTCAGAGCCACACCGCTGACCACCATTATCAACCCATTCACTACTGCGCAGTCCTACAATCCCATCACCTCTTCAAGGCTCCACCTTACAATCACCATAATAGGATTTCTCACCCTCTTCACAGTCACAGTGGGGGCTGTTTCTAATACATAAATCTTGGGGGACACAATTCAAGCTTCAGTGAGTTTGGGGGGACATAATTCTAGCCACTGCACCCTCCCTCTCTCCTTCCCTCCTTCCCTCCGTCCACCAGTATTCCTGGGCACCATACCAGGGACACAGCAGCGAATGGACCAGCATCGTCCTCCCTTCTGTGGAGCTTATGTTCTAGTTGGAGAGAGACAATATACAAGACATAAGCAGAAATAAGATCATTTCAAAGCAAACCGTGACCATGGCTGGGGAGGAAGTTGGATGAGGGCAGAGAGTAGCTGGGGAGAGAGAGCACTGTAGATAGAGGTCAGGGAAGAGGAAGCTGCTGACAGGTGGCTGGGTCTGCAGGGAAGAGCCTGGAGACCCGAGTTTCTTCTCCCCATAACAGCAGACGCAGCTCCCATGTGACCCTCCTCCTCCTCCCCACCCCGACCTGTGGTCCCCGGGGCTGGGGCCCCCTCCCCGCGGACAGTGGGGCAGTGGCTGGGAGGGAGTGCTGCAGGTGCCATGTTTTCAGCTGCCGTCTTGGGTTCCAGGACTGGATTTTCCATGTCTTGTCCCAGGAGCGGGACCAAAGCACCAACATCACCCTGAGCAGGTGAGCCTGGAATCTGGGTGGGGCTGCAGAAGACAGGAAAGGGGAGGAAGCAGAGCCTTGCGCAGGGGTTTAGACATAGGGCAGCTGCACAGACACCTGCTCACACTGGACAGATGCAGGAGCAAGCCTGGAGGGGAAAGCCCGGGGGTGAGAGAGAAAATGCAGCACAGGGGACGCAGAGTCTGCCACCCATGAAGGAGGAGGCTGCTCTCCCATCTGCCACCTGTCCATCCACCTATCCATCCATCATCCAGCCTTCCATCCTTCCACCTGTCCCTCCATCCACCCTCCCATCCCTCCATCCCCTCATCCGTCTCTCCATGCATTCAGCACAAATGTGCATTGAGCACAAGACACAAGGTCCATACTATCAGGAGCCTAGAGGACAGATGGACATAAGGCATACGGTCATGAAGGTCTGTACAACCCTCCCATTCAGAAGCACGGCAGGAGAGGAGCCTCAGTCTGCCGGAGAGATAAGGGAAGTCTGTGTAGGGAGGTGACATTGTGTTAACTCTCCAAGGAGTAGTAGGAATGGGTCAGACAAATCAGAAGAGGCAGAGTTGTGCAGGCAGAAGACATAGTTTGCACCAAAGCCTGGAGACAGCACAGCCTTTCTGAGGACCATCAGGTGTATGGCGGCAGCCTCCTCGGCCACCCCTCTCTGCCCCAGGTGCCCGGATCATGGTGCGAGGCTCGGGTGCTCTGTGCAGTCACTGCCTACGCGCTGGGCCACCCTAGGGTGAGGAGAGGGGAGCTCAGAACTGATCTTTGGGCCCGTTCCAGGCCAGAGTATCCTTTAGGAAACTGGCAAGGGTGGGCTGGGAAAGGGCTCCACAGGGTGGGTGCTGGGCAGAGATGCCCTTTGTGGCCCAAAGAGGGGCTGGAAAGGGTGACATTTTCATTTTTTCTCTGGACTTGACCACTCGTGGAGTGGACAGGTAGGACGCTCAGGCCATGGGAGGGCAGAGGCGGCCCCGTGGCTGCCTTTCCCATGTGTGTGTCTGTCTGTCTGCCTCTGGGAGGGGGTGCTATGGTCTCACCTTCCGTGCCGCCTCCTGCAGGAAGGGAATTGTTAAGCTCAACATCTACTTCCAAGAATTCAACTATCGCACCATTGAAGAGTCAGCAGCCAACAACGTGAGTCTGGAGGGCAGTCCCGTTCCTTCCCCGGGGCCAAGATGCTCACCCCTTTTCCCTTTGCACCCAGCAACCCACCTCTCAGCAACCCCTGAAGATGGGCCAGAGGCAAGAATATGAGGCCCGGCGCCCACCCCATGCCAGGCCCTCAGCTCCCTGTTCCCCGCAGATTGTCTGGCTGCTCTCCAATCTGGGCGGCCAGTTCGGCTTCTGGATGGGGGGCTCCGTGCTGTGCCTCATCGAGTTTGCAGAGATCATCATCGACTTTGTGTGGATCACCATCATCAAGCTGGTGGCCTTCGCCAAGAGCCTGCGGCAGCGGCAAGCCCAAGCCGACTACGCTGGCCCGCCGCCCACCGTGGCCGAGCTGGTGGAGGCCCACACCAACTTCGGCTTCCAGCCGGATACAGCCAGCCAGAGACCCAACACTGGGGCCTACCTTGATGAGCAGACCCTGCCCATCCCAGGCACCCCGCCCCCCAACTATGATTCCCTGCGTCTGCAGCCCCTTGACGTCATCGAGTCTGACGGTGAGGGCGATGCCATCTAGACCCTGCCTGGCCCACCCCGGGCAGCCCCAGAACTCAAAGCTGAGAAGCTGAGACCATTGCCCAAGTCCTCATTTTATGCCACCCTCTCCAAAGAGCTGGGACAAGTGTCCAAGCCCAAAACCAATGTCCCTCAACAGAGAGGCCAGCAGCAACTAGCCAGTCCCAGGCCAAGGGCTCGAAAGGTCGTGGTGCTGGAACAGGATGTGGGGCCTACTGTTCTCACCCAGTTTCCGCACACACCCCCACCTGTCCTGATCCTTGGCCTGGGATGTCCCAGCCAGGCTCCAGAGACCCCAGGACACCGTATCCTGGTGGCAGACCACTCCCCTCCTCATGCCAGTCACCATCTGGCACAGAGGTGAACAGGTGGGCATGCTATGAGGTCTGTCCCCCAGGAACAGCAGCCTTTTTCTTCATGGCCATGGCTGCCCTCTGTGAACAGGCTTGCTGAGAGCGGCAGTGGGGAGCAGGAGGGCATCAGGCATGGGGGCCCTGCCAGGTGGCACATGCTTTGTTTTAGGAAATAAAAGTAGAAAACATGGAGTCAAGCTTTCTTCTCTGTCCACCTGGGCAGCCGGGGTGCCCTGACACATCTGTGGTTGGGGACAGTAGCCACACTGGCTCAAGAGCGAAGAGGGAAGTCCCCCTAAACAAGTCAAGGGCAGCTCTCTCCTGCAATTCTTAAAGTTCCTTTCAAGTTGTCCCTAAAGCACTGGCCTGGTGGCTTTTTCAATGCCACCAAACCTATTTCTTTGGGGTACAAAGAGGAGAGAGAAATTTAAACGGGCTTAGATGAAACCATCCCAGGCACCACGAGCTGTCTCGGTCTCTCTCTGCTCTCCCAGGCAGCCCCTCCTTACACAGCCAGCTCTCAGGCTCACACTCACTGGTCCCTGACCAAGTCACATGCCCGTCTCTAAGCCAATCAGTGCAGCCAGCTGGATAGGCTGCTCCGATTGGTCAGATCTGAATTCATCTGCCCAGACCCAAAGCCGGTTTGGTCCCCAGCAGAATCACATGGTTCGAGGGTGGCGGGGGCATAGCTCCTAAGGGTGCAGGATAAAATTCAGGCCACTCAGTTAAATTTGAATTTCAGATAGATAATGAATTAATTTTTTAGTGTAAGTACATCGATGCAATATTTGGGACATATGACACAAATCATTCATTGTTTTTCTGAAATTCAAGTTTAAATGAGTATCCTACATGAGGGATCATCAAATGAGAAGTTCATGGAAAGATTCATATTATCTTTTAATTCCATATTTCCGTGAACTTTTTGAAGTGCCCTCATATTTTTAATTGCTAACTATGGCAATCCTAATGGCTCCTCAAAGAGACATCGGGGATCTGTTACTAAAGAAGAACATGGTCTGGCAGAGCAGATGGCTGACTGCTCCAGCATCTTGCTGTCACCTCCCAGGCCGTGGTGACAAAGGGGCTCTGGCCATAGAGACTGCGCCTCCAAGGGCCCAGCCCTGCTGGTCTGGATCATCTTGGTCCCTTGGTCTGGGAGGCAGACAGGGTGGTCTCCCATCAAGTGCCCACAGTGGTACCTGTAGAGGAAGGAGGTGCCACAGAGTCAGTGTCACTCTGGTTGAAGGCAGCATTGCTAGGGGTGAAGAGGGAGGCTGGAGGAAGCCGGGTTTCCCAGCCCAGGCTGGAGTCACAGCTCTTACTGGTTTCCACCCTTACTACTATGACTATAGCTTTTGTTATTAACAGTAGTGGTTGTTGTCGCCACACTCATGATTACCGTTGGTTGTTCTAAAACAATGGCTACACTGTATCAAGTGCTTACCACATGCCAGGTAGCATGCCAAGTACTTTATAAGTCTTATTTCATTTTATTCTCATAACCACTGAGAAATAGTATCGTTCCATTTTACAGCTAAGTAAGTTGAGGCTGAGAGAGGCAAAATCAGGCACCCAAAGTCACCGTTCTAGTGAGTGACAAAGTTGAGACCCTAGCCTCAGCCTCTTGGTGCGAAGGGTCATAAGAAAAGCCCAGAGCTCTCAAGTTTATTGTCTCATCTGAAGCTATCAGGCATTATTGTCTAGATCCATTCGCCAGCTCTTCAGTCACAGGTCAATTTGAACTGGCTTAAGCTACAAAGGGAATTCGCTAGCTCTTGTAGTAAAAGTCCGGGGATTTCAGGCATGGCCATATCCAGGGGTTCACCTAGGTCTGGTTTTTCTGTGTTGCCATGCCTCTCAAATAGGTTCTCTCCATGTGCTCCTCTTCCCAAACATCTCTTCACACCTATAATTCCAGCTCCATCCCCACAGCTCAGCAACCCCAGTGGGAAGAAAGCTCTTCCTTTACAGTGTCCCAGCAAAAGCTCCAAGAATGAGGCTCACTGGATCAGCCTGGGCCACATGCTCATCCTGAACTGATCACTGTGACTGGGGATGGGAGATGCTGACTGGCCAGCACTGGGTGAATCTACGGAGACCCTCATGAGAGGTTCTGTTCAGAGAGGTTTTGGAGCTGCCAATGGACGTGTGAAATGGGACCAGGCTGACAGTGGGCATCAGATTGCCACCTGACTCTTTGGGGAGCAATGAGGGCCAGGCCAGGGGATAATGGCCCCATTGCTACAAGCAGGCACTGGGTCAGGCAGACTGGTGTCCCTCATCCCTGGGTCTAGAGAAGTGCTGCCCCGCTCCCACCCTGGGGGCTCATCACACAGAGTTTTGGAGCTGAAAATATAGTCTGGCAGGGGCCAAATTGCCCAGAAAATGGCATTCTGCAATTCCCACCACCACCCCAAAAGGCAAGGCAATGTACAGATGCTGGAGAACTGTGAAACTAGCACTGCACACACGCTGTCACCACCACATCTCAGTGGCTCTTCACGTAACCCTAGGTGTTAGGTACCATCATGACCCCAGGTTTTCAGATCAGCAAATGAGGCTCAGAGAGGTGAAGTGACTTTCCCAAGGTCACAGAGCTGGGAGGTGGCAAAGCAGCCAATCAAGCCCACGCCTGTCCCACTCTGAAGCCTGGTGGTTCTCTTGGACATCGGCACAAGGGTGACTACAGAGTTTCCACTTTCGAGCAGCATGTTCCACCTTCCAGGTTTCTGGCTCTCACTTTTTCTAGGCAAGAGCCGGGCTCAAAGCCCTGCCAGGAACAGTCTGTGACCCATCACATGAGAAACCAAAATATTTTTCCTGGTGCGGGTTCACAGCTGATACTCTGTCAGGGCCAGCCAAACTGGTTACAAAGATGCGAGGACAGACCCAGTGGACACTAGCCCTAGCAGCCTGGTGGGGTGCAGTGGAGCCCCTCAAGAGGACTGGCACGAGCAGACTGACCCGGTGGGATTAGGTGTCCCTCCGTGTGCCTCCCGTGCTCTGCATTAGGAAGGCTGCCTGGTGGCGGGTCACAGTGTGATGCCATAGCCACCAGGCTCCCTCTGAGCCTCAGCCCTGCAACGTGGTAGAGTGACCCCAGAGAATCCTCAAAACTTTCCACACCCCCGTTCCTGTGTGTGTGAACCAGGGATAATATCCCTGCCTTCCAAGGTTATGGTGAGGCCCAAGTGAGATAGTCCGGAGAACAGCACAGCTCAGCCCAGCCCCAGAAACCCAGGAAGTGCTCAGTTCCAATGAGGGGCCCTGTGGTGACACTGTCACCGTCCCCCTTCGTCTCTGTTATTTTGTTCAGGGCTGCCAGAAGCCCAGCCCAGGCAATAAATCTTGACTGGTTTCAACCAGTGTTTCTCAACTGGAGGTGAATTTGCCCCTCAGGCAATTTCTGGAGACATTTCTGATTGTCACAACTAGTAGGTAGAGGCCAGGGATGCTGTTCAGCACCCACGCTGCACAAGACAGCGTCACAACAAACACCTACTCGGCCCAAAACATCAATAACATCAAGGATGAGAGATGCTGGTTGAAGCCAGTCCTGTACCCTGCTTCCCAGCCTCCCTTTCCACTGGGGGACACCTGTGACTAAGGAATGGCCAACAGGCCTAGGAGAGGGTTGGCTGGGAGCCTGCCTTGCAGAAGGGACAGAATTGCCACTCTTGCTTCCCCTCCCTGCCACTTCGTTCCCAGATCGGAGCTGTGCCTGGAGCTGCAGCGCTCACTGCAATGACAGGTGTCCAGCACACAGGAAAGGGGTGGAGATCAGAGAGGCTGGTCCTGGTCCTGACTTATCCAACCACGAAATCAGTGCCTGTGGCCACCACCCTTTGACTTCTGGTTATTGCGAACAATCAATTCCTATTACTTTAAGTTACTCAAATTACCTTCTTCTGTTACTTACAGCCAAATACAACCTTAATACATACAGAAGCTATTGATAGAAAAGATTGATGAAATTCACATCAACCCATAAATTTTTAAAAAGGAAAAAATGAAAGCCAAAATCCTTCCCAAAGCCTACGAAACCCCGAATGACCTGGCCCCTGCTTCCTCTCCTGCCTCATTTGCTACTTTGCCCCGTGTTACCCCCACCTCCAGCGCCTAGCTGACCCTGGACCGGCCACTGCAGGGCCCGGTCTGAGCTGCTCTCTTGGCCTGGATACTCCTCCCGCAGCCCTGAGTCACCCATCTCTCATCCTGCAGGTCTTTGGTGGCCCACCCCCTTATCCAATGCCATGTTCCACCAGAAATTATCTTCTTTGATTACCCTTTTCTCCCTCCCTCCCTTTTTCCTGTAAGCTACAGGAAAGGACTCCCCAGCCTCCTTCACAGCCATCTCCCCCAGCACATGGGAAACCCTCAAATACACTCACTGAAGAAGGAAGGAAAGAAATCAGCCTTCTTTCATTCCACAGTATTTATTAATTCTGTTTCCACAATCAGATCATTTTTAAAAATCATCTGAAAAGTCCTCTCTAATAAATATCTCTAATTTACAACTTTTTTTGGATTATACAAATGAACCGAGTCTTTATTAAACACACTCTGCCCAATCCCTGACAGAGTTTTAGAGTGAGTCCATGCTGGAGGGTTGCTGCGACTGCAGAATGTCAGCCTGACCCTC